AACTGTCTGCAACACTGACAAGGACTGAGGTGTACTGACTCTAACGTATTAGACTGAATGGTAACTGTCTGCAACACTGACAAGGACTGAGGTGTACTTACTCTAACGTATTAGACTGAATGGTAACTGTCTGCAACACTGACAAGGACTGAGGTGTACTTACTCTAACGTATTAGACTGAATGGTAACTGTCTGCAACACTGACAAGGACTGAGGTGTACTTACTCTAACGTATTAGACTGAATGGTAACTGTCTGCAACACTGACAAGGACTGAGGTGTACTTACTCTAACGTATTAGACTGAATGGTAACTGTCTGCAACACTGACAAGGACTGAGGTGTACTTACTCTAACGTATCAGACTGAATGGTAACTGTCTGCAACACTGACAAGGACTGAGGTGTACTTACTCTAACGTATTAGACTGAATGGTAACTGTCTGCAACACTGACAAGGACTGAGGTGTACTTACTCTAACGTATCAGACTGAATGGTAACTGTCTGCAACACTGACAAGGACTGAGGTGTACTTACTCTAACGTATCAGACTGAATGGTAACTGTCTGCAACACTGACAAGGACTGAGGTGTACTTACTCTAACGTATCAGACTGAATGGTAACTGTCTGCAACACTGACAAGGGACTGAGGTGTACTTACTCTAACGTATTAGACTGAATGGTAACTGTCTGCAACACTGACAAGGACTGAGGTGTACTTACTCTAACGTATCAGACTGAATGGTAACTGTCTGCAACACTGACAAGGACTGAGGTGTACTTACTCTAACGTATCAGACTGAATGGTAACTGTCTGCAACACTGACAAGGACTGAGGTGTACTGACTCTAACGTATTAGACTGAATGGTAACTGTCTGCAACACTGACAAGGACTGAGGTGTACTTACTCTAACGTATTAGACTGAATGGTAACTGTCTGCAACACTGACAAGGACTGAGGTGTACTTACTCTAACGTATCAGACTGAATGGTAACTGTCTGCAACACTGACAAGGACTGAGGTGTACTTACTCTAACGTATTAGACTGAATGGTAACTGTCTGCAACACTGACAAGGACTGAGGTGTACTTACTCTAACGTATCAGACTGAATGGTAACTGTCTGCAACACTGACAAGGACTGAGGTGTACTTACTCTAACGTATCAGACTGAATGGTAACTGTCTGCAACACTGACAAGGACTGAGGTGTACTTACTCTAACGTATCAGACTGAATGGTAACTGTCTGCAACACTGACAAGGACTGAGGTGTACTTACTCTAACGTATTAGACTGAATGGTAACTGTCTGCAACACTGACAAGGACTGAGGTGTACTTACTCTAACGTATCAGACTGAATGGTAACTGTCTGCAACACTGACAAGGACTGAGGTGTACTTACTCTAACGTATCAGACTGAATGGTAACTGTCTGCAACACTGACAAGGACTGAGGTGTACTGACTCTAACGTATTAGACTGAATGGTAACTGTCTGCAACACTGACAAGGACTGAGGTGTACTTACTCTAACGTATTAGACTGAATGGTAACTGTCTGCAACACTGACAAGGACTGAGGTGTACTTACTCTAACGTATTAGACTGAATGGTAACTGTCTGCAACACTGACAAGGACTGAGGTGTACTTACTCTAACGTATTAGACTGAATGGTAACTGTCTGCAACACTGACAAGGACTGAGGTGTACTTACTCTAACGTATTAGACTGAATGGTAACTGTCTGCAACACTGACAAGGACTGAGGTGTACTTACTCTAACGTATCAGACTGAATGGTAACTGTCTGCAACACTGACAAGGACTGAGGTGTACTTACTCTAACGTATCAGACTGAATGGTAACTGTCTGCAACACTGACAAGGACTGAGGTGTACTTACTCTAACGTATCAGACTGAATGGTAACTGTCTGCAACACTGACAAGGACTGAGGTGTACTTACTCTAACGTATCAGACTGAATGGTAACTGTCTGCAACACTGACAAGGACTGAGGTGTACTTACTCTAACGTATTAGACTGAATGGTAACTGTCTGCAACACTGACAAGGACTGAGGTGTACTTACTCTAACGTATTAGACTGAATGGTAACTGTCTGCAACACTGACAAGGACTGAGGTGTACTTACTCTAACGTATCAGACTGAATGGTAACTGTCTGCAACACTGACAAGGACTGAGGTGTACTTACTCTAACGTATCAGACTGAATGGTAACTGTCTGCAACACTGACAAGGACTGAGGTGTACTTACTCTAACGTATCAGACTGAATGGTAACTGTCTGCAACACTGACAAGGACTGAGGTGTACTTACTCTAACGTATTAGACTGAATGGTAACTGTCTGCAACACTGACAAGGACTGAGGTGTACTTACTCTAACGTATCAGACTGAATGGTAACTGTCTGCAACACTGACAAGGACTGAGGTGTACTTACTCTAACGTATCAGACTGAATGGTAACTGTCTGCAACACTGACAAGGACTGAGGTGTACTGACTCTAACGTATTAGACTGAATGGTAACTGTCTGCAACACTGACAAGGACTGAGGTGTACTTACTCTAACGTATTAGACTGAATGGTAACTGTCTGCAACACTGACAAGGACTGAGGTGTACTTACTCTAACGTATTAGACTGAATGGTAACTGTCTGCAACACTGACAAGGACTGAGGTGTACTTACTCTAACGTATTAGACTGAATGGTAACTGTCTGCAACACTGACAAGGACTGAGGTGTACTTACTCTAACGTATTAGACTGAATGGTAACTGTCTGCAACACTGACAAGGACTGAGGTGTACTTACTCTAACGTATCAGACTGAATGGTAACTGTCTGCAACACTGACAAGGACTGAGGTGTACTTACTCTAACGTATCAGACTGAATGGTAACTGTCTGCAACACTGACAAGGACTGAGGTGTACTTACTCTAACGTATTAGACTGAATGGTAACTGTCTGCAACACTGACAAGGACTGAGGTGTACTTACTCTAACGTATCAGACTGAATGGTAACTGTCTGCAACACTGACAAGGACTGAGGTGTACTTACTCTAACGTATCAGACTGAATGGTAACTGTCTGCAACACTGACAAGGACTGAGGTGTACTTACTCTAACGTATCAGACTGAATGGTAACTGTCTGCAACACTGACAAGGACTGAGGTGTACTTACTCTAACGTATTAGACTGAATGGTAACTGTCTGCAACACTGACAAGGACTGAGGTGTACTTACTCTAACGTATCAGACTGAATGGTAACTGTCTGCAACACTGACAAGGACTGAGGTGTACTTACTCTAACGTATCAGACTGAATGGTAACTGTCTGCAACACTGACAAGGACTGAGGTGTACTGACTCTAACGTATTAGACTGAATGGTAACTGTCTGCAACACTGACAAGGACTGAGGTGTACTTACTCTAACGTATTAGACTGAATGGTAACTGTCTGCAACACTGACAAGGACTGAGGTGTACTTACTCTAACGTATCAGACTGAATGGTAACTGTCTGCAACACTGACAAGGACTGAGGTGTACTTACTCTAACGTATTAGACTGAATGGTAACTGTCTGCAACACTGACAAGGACTGAGGTGTACTTACTCTAACGTATCAGACTGAATGGTAACTGTCTGCAACACTGACAAGGACTGAGGTGTACTTACTCTAACGTATTAGACTGAATGGTAACTGTCTGCAACACTGACAAGGACTGAGGTGTACTTACTCTAACGTATCAGACTGAATGGTAACTGTCTGCAACACTGACAAGGACTGAGGTGTACTTACTCTAACGTATTAGACTGAATGGTAACTGTCTGCAACACTGACAAGGACTGAGGTGTACTTACTCTAACGTATCAGACTGAATGGTAACTGTCTGCAACACTGACAAGGACTGAGGTGTACTTACTCTAACGTATCAGACTGAATGGTAACTGTCTGCAACACTGACAAGGACTGAGGTGTACTGACTCTAACGTATTAGACTGAATGGTAACTGTCTGCAACACTGACAAGGACTGAGGTGTACTTACTCTAACGTATTAGACTGAATGGTAACTGTCTGCAACACTGACAAGGACTGAGGTGTACTTACTCTAACGTATTAGACTGAATGGTAACTGTCTGCAACACTGACAAGGACTGAGGTGTACTTACTCTAACATATTAGACTGAATGGTAACTGTCTGCAACACTGACAAGGACTGAGGTGTACTTACTCTAACGTATTAGACTGAATGGTAACTGTCTGCAACACTGACAAGGACTGAGGTGTACTTACTCTAACGTATCAGACTGAATGGTAACTGTCTGCAACACTGACAAGGACTGAGGTGTACTTACTCTAACGTATCAGACTGAATGGTAACTGTCTGCAACACTGACAAGGACTGAGGTGTACTTACTCTAACGTATCAGACTGAATGGTACCTGTCTGCAACACTGACAAGGACTGAGGTGTACTTACTCTAACGTATCAGACTGAATGGTAACTGTCTGCAACACTGACAAGGACTGAGGTGTACTTACTCTAACGTATCAGACTGAATGGTAACTGTCTGCAACACTGACAAGGACTGAGGTGTACTTACTCTAACGTATCAGACTGAATGGTAACTGTCTGCAACACTGACAAGGACTGAGGTGTACTTACTCTAACGTATCAGACTGAATGGTAACTGTCTGCAACACTGACAAGGACTGAGGTGTACTTACTCTAACGTATCAGACTGAATGGTAACTGTCTGCAACACTGACAAGGACTGAGGTGTACTTACTCTAACGTATCAGACTGAATGGTAACTGTCTGCAACACTGACAAGGACTGAGGTGTACTTACTCTAACGTATCAGACTGAATGGTAACTGTCTGCAACACTGACAAGGACTGAGGTGTACTTACTCTAACGTATCAGACTGAATGGTAGCTGTCTGCAACACTGACAAGGACTGAGGTGTACTTACTCTAAAGTATCAGACTCAGATTGTGATCGTTTCATCTTCTTATCTATCGGAGTTTGACTCCTTCGTCGCTGTGAAAAAACAAACAGAACTAGTAATCATATGGTACTACAGTACTATCAGAAAGATAATATGTCACCTTTTCATTTTCTCACTTAATATTCCACAAAAGGATCTTAGTGTCATGACTCAGTGATCAAAGCTAATGTTTGGTAGTATTGGTCATCTTAGAGCTGAGATCACTTTGTGGAATGTTTCCCAGATACATTAATGACAACATTAAAATTGGTAAAAGCAATCTGAGTCGGCATGGTCAGTACCCATCAAAACCCAGTATGCCTGGTAACTATTGTCAAAGATCCTGGCAATGCTGACAATTCCATTTTGTGAGGAACTCACCGCTGCTGTGGGGGAGAGGCGGAGCCCCTCGACGGAGGCCTTGATATCCTCCACTGTTCCTGTAGGGGTAGCACCATTTGGAGACAGGGGACGGATCTCTACCTTGATCTTTCTTCGGGTATCGTCGCCATCTGATACAGAGAACCAAGTACATGCATCAACATATCAGACTCACTGTCCTATTTTATATAATAGAGTCTGGACCAACAATCCAGTGATAGACATCATCATCATCATGGGCATCAATCTAGACAATACGATGACATGCATCAGTGAGTCAGTGAGTCTGACCACCATGACCACTTGATCCCGTTTGTCACCTCTTATGACAAGAAACATATCCTTTTCCAAAATTATAAAAACTGGGGATGGCTATGAGAGGTTTACAGTGTATCACAATACTTTGTATAATTCTAAATTTTAAATTCAGAAGCTCACTTGAGACAGGCTGCAGTATTTGGTTCATCAATTTTGCCATTCATTTGCTTTAGATCGAAGTGTATACTTCGGCTTTTCCTTTCACATTTGTACAAATGTGCATGCACATAAGGGAGGTAACTGAGAATGAAACAAATGCATTTTTGAAGTTGCGGAAGCAAACTTGCATTTTATAAATTACATAATTTGCATTTACTAAAGATACTTGAAATGTGTGGATAAATACCATGTTATCCCTGATTATATGTGCTTTTCTATTTTTCCAAATTATTGGTTGTCAATACTGTCAATAGTAATTCCCATGCATCAGTAAACCAGCACTCACCTGAATCTGTTTCACTATCACTGGAGTACCAACTGTTCTTGTCACCATTGTCTGAATGGCATAAGGAAAGAGGCAACTTGTCATAGAGATGAATTGGAGCTCTTGTTGTATTCATTATGTTAATAGTGAGTGAGTGAGTTTTACGCCACTTTTAGCACTATTCCAGCAATATCACGGCTGGGGACACCAGAAATGGGCTTCACACATTGTACCCATGTGGGGAATCGAACCCGGGTCTTCGGCATGACGAGAGAATGCTTTAACCACTAGGCTACCTGACCGCCCCTCATTATGTTAATACAACAGCAAAGCTTTTATTACAGTTATCTTTACAATTATCATGATCATAATTGCCAAATCAAAGATGCCTGTATTATAAATATGCATTCTTAGTGTTGGGCTGCATGAACCTCTATTACATGATAATATATGAGAGTGAGTGAGTGAATGATTTTCAAAGCTACAGTCAACATTTTCCACTGTGGCCTGTATCTGGACCAGACAAACTACAAATCTTGGTTCATTGAAAACTGCCATTGAACATGTTTGATTGAGTGTGGACAAGGATACTGTCTGAAACTTCTCGTCTTATTGTGTAGCCTTCTTCGTCGACTTCCGCTGCTGGCTGTAGGGAATATACAAAGGAGTCAAATTTATGAAAAACATCCCACTTGATCCTGTTGAGTTCATTCTCTTATCAACATGATTAACTCATCCCAATAGTGTCAGTCTAGCTAATCTTACATTGGTCATGTAATGTTTATCAACTTGAGATGACTTATATTGTAAGTCATAAGACTTAGTGTAATTAGTTTTGAAAAACTATCTGAATTAACATTAAATCACTTACTGTTACATAACACTTATATCAGTAAATACACGATGGCCTATGAGCATGATTAGCATTCAGTACCTTCAATAATAGTTTTATAAATAGAAATTGCTGATATGGCTCATGCTAAACCTATATACTCACTCCATCATCTTGGTTTTCGGTAGTATCTCTGCAAAAATAAAGATACTTGTATAAAAACATCTTGCATTTATTCTTTGGTCTATCCATTTATTTTGTTAACAAACTGATGTTACCGTTTCATGTTCAAACAGATTCTCCTCCCAAACTGTGTAATGAATGTACCAGGTGCTACAATGAAGCCCTTCAAACACAGACAGGTGTATACAGTAGCTTTTTTTATTGTGACAACTTCCCTTCAACTTTTCTGTCTGATCGATTTGCATTTTGCAGTTTTAACACAACCAACCATGTTACAGCCACTATCATAATGAGCTCTCCTTCAACCCAATGATAGCCTACAATCAATAACAGTGTAATGCTGAACTATTCATTGTATGTGATTCAACAGTGATAGCAATAAGCATGTACCAAGTGCCATCTTGTCCTTGTATGTCCAGTAAATGATCATTTGAATATTTATCGCCTTATATGTACCAACCAACAACTATGTTCAAGTTAATTGTTCTGTCTTCCAAAAATATCAACATATTAAAACGTGCAACATCATATGCAGAGCTACAGATATGCAGCGTATTCGAGTAAAATACCCCCCCCAAACATTCAAGACCCAATTACTTTCAATTAACTTGCATACAGAAACGCATGCATTAAATGAAAAATTCAAATATATAAAAACAGCATGCATAAATACTCAATGAAGATTTTCCAACATGCATACAAAGGAGCTAATTTCCGAAACACTATTATAAGCTAATTTACTTTTTGAGTCAAGTCTATATATTTAGAAAAGTTACTATGGTTATATACATCTAAAACATTATTTCATTTTTTAAAATCTTAAAATGTTCACTCTTTTGGAGAAAAACCAAATAGAGTTATGAATAGATGAGTGAAAAAATATTGCTTACCCAAAGAAAAATGTAATAACCCAATTAAATTGGAAACCCTGGAGTAAAAACTCAATTGACCAAAAAGTTATCTGGAGCTCTGATATGTATTTCATGCAATGAATTATACAAAATGTATATTAAAGGGTCAATTGATAATACCGTATTCGACGTCAGGCGCTCTCAAAATTAGAAATAGGGGGCTCTTATTAGAATATTATTTTGGTGAAAAAAAGAAAGATGTTGAAATATAAATTTCGTGGTTTATGCTGACAGTCTGAAATGTTTATGTACGACAGATATATTTTTCCAGAATTTAATTGACCATAGTAAACACATGAGTGCGTATTATACACGAAAAAATAAGTCTTGTGTACATTGATCAATTGGAAGGGGTGCTAATTTAGATTGTTCACTAGCCAATATATTAGCAAATGTCGCTGTGGGCGCTTATTAGAGTGATTACGTCGAATACGGTATGTATATTACACTATCCATGCAATCTGCACTACAGGCATGTGGCCTGTGCATGAATAGAATAGACATCAACAGTATACACCTCCAGCAAATAGTTTCCATGGAAACACTTACACAGATTCTGTATCTTTCTCATCTTTTTCTTTCTTCTTTTTCTTCTTTTCTTTCTTTTTTGTTTTCGATTTTAAAAACCCTGAAATGAGAACCAACACCCATGACACACGACCACAAGTTGCACAGATGACGCCTGCTACTAACATCACTATCTTTGGTTTCAATAGATAACATAATTATTTCAAACTGTCTCTTTAACACGTTACAGGCAACAACATACTCCACATGTTAAACATTTTGAAAGAATTTAGAAGAAATCCTACTGCATACTTATACTATTACACAATGTTCTTAGATCTAGGGTACATACTTGACATGGAAACAGTCTTGTGATTTTGTTTTGGTGACACAATCAAGTTAGTACACAACAGAATGCATAGAAACAGGATTAATTTGTTACTTTTGTAAAAGTAGCAGTTACTTTTCTCTGCAGCAGAATTTTATATTAAGGTGAACTTGTAATCTGAATGATTTTGAAAAGATGTTGGTTGCTAATACTGCTGGGAAACCTTGATCTAGATGCTGACTCGGGTAACAAACATCAGCGAGTCAGTGAGTGTGTCGGTTTTAACTCTGCTTTGAACAATGTTTCAGTTATATCAGCTTAATGTGAGAGGACGCCCTGAGTGATGTAGGTCTCAGACGTTTACCACTTCGGTGAAACTCACGAGCACGGGTATTGTGATCACAAACCTAGAAACATAACCTGGGGAAACCACTTTTGAACCCATGATAATCAGTTTCATGGGGTGCCCAAGGGACGCAACTCTGCACAGCGAATTGCGGCACCTTGGATGACTGGGCCACCTGTACATGAGTGAGTGAGTGAGTTGGGTTAAACGCCGCTTTTAACAGTATTCCAGTTATATCACGGCGTGTCAGCTAAATGTGGGAGGAAAGCCTGAAGTGATGCAGGTCTCAGACGTTTACCACTTTGGTGAAACCCACGAGCACGGGTGGGATGCTGACAAACCTAGAAACATAATCGGAGCTCCGGGATTCGAACCCACAATCATAGGTTTCTGGCGTGCCCAAGGGACGCGACTCTGCACAGCGAATCACAGCGCCTTGGACGACTTGGCCACCCGTGCCCCCCACCTGTACATGACAAAGTTGCAGCGAACAAAGTATTTCCTGTAAGATGTCCAATACTTGTGTTGTCAATAAAACAATTTAGCAACAAAATGTGAAGAGCATGGAAGAACTTGACTGTAATGCAACCTACACTCAAGACAATGAATCTGTCAAATGATAGTACACAGTAGCACATATGATGAGCCCTGGACACATGGACATTTGGAGGATGTTCATACGTTCTGGCCAAACTACAGTTTATGTCATGGAGTGAATAAAAACTTACAACTAGCATTAACACAATATGTTCTTCCATTGGTTTGTCTGTTTGTCATGTTTCTTACATAAGTAGGGTAAAACATCTCCTATTTCTGAAATATGATGCTTGACGATGATCATAATGTTTGTTTAGGTCAATCAAGGTTTCACAGCACGGCAAAGTCAATTTGTACTGACACGTTATCTAAATGTGTTCCAGTATTGTCTGTGAGAGATCGGTGACTGCCGCAATGAGGGCGGGCCTTGGCACAGTTTGCTGTCACTACACTACTGTTAACACTAACTACACTACATCTACCACTACTACCAACACAAGCCACACAACAAGCAAGCACGTTAATCAGATGCACAACTCACTTGATAACCAGTACACATGCACAGTAGGACAATTCATGCACAGAGCTGGAACCTATACACAATCTTATCACAGTTATCACGCGGTAGAGTCGTAACAAGGTAATTCACATGCTACTCTCCAGGCATTAGCAGTGACTTCAGTTGGGTGTCGTCCAACAAGCATCATTCATATTGTATAACGAGCATTAGCAAGCTGATGAGGTAATAACAAGCTTCTTATTGAGACACCAGATATTCATGAGCAGCAATACTGCAGACAATCATGTCAGATGTCAGGCTATCTAGGGATAGCCAGGGATAGCCAGGGAGACAGGCAGGCATGTCACTTCAACCTACACTGGCTGCAGATGGGGATGTTTGCTGTTGGAAGCATACTGGACAATGCTATTGCGATGGTAGTGTACTGTCCTCATGCTTGTCATTAGGGCTGAGATGATACACCAACTGTGTGAACCGATATGTATCACAATACCTTACTCATGATCTAATATGTATCATGATACTTCCATGTGCTCTTATCTGTGATCTGTAAGCTTTTTCATATACAGGATGACTAAATACCTGGCACACTGACAATTTACAGTTGGCAGTGTCAAGTATGACACAATGAATGAAAATATTTACGTTTTCACTAGTAACTTTCACTACTAATTTTCACTACTAATTAGTGTTTAGTTTAACAGTTATTAAAGCAAACATTTAAGGTAACAATCAATATTTTTTAGTCAGTGTTTGACTGTGATCGATACTTGTATCAAGAAGTAAACAATTGTGATCCACCGATGCATCAGTGTATCGTCCCACCACTACTTGTTATTGGAGGCTGTGACAGTGTCTGACAGTGTCTGACAGTGCACTTCAGGCTGCAGTGTCGGTAACATTCTCAACATAGCACTGACTTACTCAACATTATTTAAATCAAACTATACATGCCAAATGCAGAACCTGAAATATCCTTAATGTGATCATAATTCTACTCTTTTAAAAATGGAGAGGAAACATGACTAGTGAGTACTTGTTAATCCATAAGGCATCACCCTGTGAAATCCTCCCGATTACAGATATCTGTATTAATGTATCATGGGTATGGAGCAATGTCCTAATCATATGGACGTTACTAACTTTAACTGTCAACAAAGCTGGGTTGATTTAACACGCAGTGTTAGGACTGACTTGATTTCACTGTATGCTTGTATTACATGTGCATGGATATCCTGAGGTTGAGGATCAAGATCTTCCTCAATGCCCACTGTGCATGTTTAACATCACTGACAAGGAACACACGGAAATCCTTATAATATAACACACAATTCACAATCTCAGTTCAATTCTTAATATTATGTTATGATTTTAATTTGACATTAACGAATAAGGATATCTCCTCAATGATGAAATATTAACTGGAGATTAAATTTACTGAATAGATCAAGAGCTGATGTTAGTTTTTAGTATGGAGTATTCAAGAAAGATCCTGCAAAACCATGTACAATTTTCTCCAACTCCATGGGAGCATGACATAAATTCATTATTTCATCATTAATATTGAAGATCAAGGCTGTAAAGTAAATAACACACATTAAACAAATCAAATCAACTGAAAGAGAAACACTTTGTAGAGGCACAGAGCCATCCGGAAAAAAGAAATCAGCACATTTTCAACCAAACTCTTCACCAATAAAATGATTAGTAAATAGAGAACAATAAACCTCGGGCAGAATGGTGTGCTCAATTTTATGTTCATCTGAAGACTAAATAGCCATACAGTTAGAGTCGGAATTAATGCCATGGTGGAAGAAATCAATGAGTTCTAATTTTGATAGTAAGCTGATGAAACTAGTTCAAATCTGATATTTCTTGGCTGTGATTTCTCTGTTCCTGATATTCTGTAACAGAACAACAAGTACACCTGTACGCTATGGTAAGCTTTTCAGAAAATGAGAAATGGACCATGTTCAAAATACAGATCTTATCAAACCTCAACTTGCATGATGTTCAATCTCAGCTGTATCAAATCATTGCTAAATAAAGACATCATAATCGGCCATCAAATCAGTCCCGGTTATTTTGCTGATATATGAATGATTCAGATAGGAGGAATAATGACTGTAAGGAGATTATCTCCCTTTAACAGTGATGGCAATGAGGAAAGGGGCGTACACAAGAGCTTACATGGTGTACAAGCAGCCAATCAGACAAGAGTTTACATCAGTACAACTACCAATGCCAAGGGCCCAAAATACATGCAGAAATTTGCCAGCAAGAACAGAAGCTAACAACAAGTGTGTGAGTCAGCCAATGGGGCTGAAACAGACAATGTTATTTACATGTGCGGGAGACGCGCAGTTTGACACTTCGGCTGAGAGGGCCCGGCTGATCCGACAGCACAGGGCTGGGAGTTCCACTAGAATCTGCAAAACAGAGCACCCATGTAAGTGAAGGGGGAGCGCTATTCAGCTCATGGTGGTGACAAGTATGGTGTGTGTACAGAGAGGGACATAGGCTTCTGGCTCACTCAACAACACCCTATTGAATGCATGTAATATGAGTATAGGGTTACTAATCCTGGATTCTAATGATGGCCCACATGCTTTATGTCAATGATGTTTAGAAGGTAACATATATACTAGTCTGGTGTTCAACTGCACGAGACATCAACATGCAATAATGACCTATCCTCTTCTGATTCAACAAGCAACAATGCCAGGCCGTCCAGCATTCCACAGCATACCCAACCCTATTAGCTATTTATGTCAAAATAAAATAATAGTCTTGGTTTTCAGGCACCGCCCGCATCATCATAGAGTCCACCACACGTGTCGTTTTTATTTCCATTGTCAAAAACAATAAATAAAATTTAAATATTCCGCGTCTCAAACACACGACTCCAGCAGTGAAATGCTACAAGGCTTAAGAACAACATGATTCAAGTGTTATTATTGTAAACAAACTTTGGTTACATTCTAGCTTATTTTTTTGGGGGGGATAGTACTTACATTTCTCTCACATTTTCTCTTTCTTATTTCTTTATGATACTAATTTAATAGTTAAACCCTTCAGTTACATTTTGTAGAGACAGGTATTTACAATTATTTTGTATTTTATACATTTATCTATACAATTTTCTGTAACTTGTTTTCCTGTAGTTTTTTTCCTACAATCTCTTGTGATGTTGCATGATCACTGTTGATGGCTTGTAAACACAGAGGAAACCATTTTCTCTTGGAATTGCATTTTCTAGTCTCATGTTCTTCTTACTGTAATCCTCTTTAATTTACATCAACTCTCATGCTTTGTACTACCTCATGGACATATACAAACTATTACAACTTTCTCTCTTGGTCCAGATATATATATAGATTCTGAGATCAGCCAAAGATCGATGTAACATGTGGCTTCTGAGTTTGCACTGCATAAGATATAAAGCTCTGTTTCAGAATTGAATTACTATTCTGTCACTATTTCACTGTGCATAAAATGCCCTCAACTGTACAGAATGCACTGTTTTAACACAAGGTCAAAGGGTACTCCCTGTCCTCAAGTACATAAAGAGAATTGATTTCCCATTACCGAACATTAAAAAGGCAGTCAGACAAAAAACAAAATCCAAAACCATGTGTGATATCTTACACAAGCAAATATCGCATATACCGTGTATACATTCACGTTTAGTAGCTCCAGCTTCAGTATTTGATGAAGTATTAGCCAGTTGCAATAGTCATGACTCCCCAACCTTGTATTTGACACACAATGTAAATGTAGCTGAGTCAAAAAGACCCTCAGATTTCAAAGCCAAGGACAAAACCTAGGTGTCTGTACCAGCATGTGTTTATGAGAAACATTGTATTCATGAGCCAGAAGCTGTTGTAGCAACAAAACCTCAACAGAATGAGTAACAACAACAGTGACAGAGACAGTGATGTGAGATGGAGAGGGTGACGAGGAGGAGATTGTACATGAAGGGGGCATGTGAGGGGTAAACAAGGAGACAGCAACAATACATTACCAGAAAACAAAGCTGCATCTGAAACAACACATAACAGAAACCACACATGTAGACAGAGAGACAGAGACAGAGACACAAACAACACTTAAACAACAAACTGTTACATATTCAAATATTATGCATCTTGTTCGTGTTTTTTGCGGATGGAAATTAATGAGCAAAGCTTGCAGAGAATGCAAAGAATCATCAGGTCGTTCACTGGCAGGGAACTGAGCAGATGCCTAGATCAATAACTGGTGCTGTTGTCACAATGTTAGTTCAAGGCTCTGGTGATCAGTTGCAACTTGAGCACCTGATACTTTGTACAGTTGGGCTTGGGCAGATCTCTTCTTACTCTTAATGTTATACCATGCATACAGACCAACATCTTCCTGAGGCAAGAGAGTAAACTGTCTATAAAAGTCCAGTTTCCACCCTTGCCGAACTAGGCTGGAATTCCTGGATTCGATCGTAGTGCCACCAGTGGCTGTTATGAGTTAAATCCCTCCTATGCCCTGCCTATGGACCAATCAGATTCCACCTCTCGTATCACTTGCATTTGCTTCAAACAAAATGGCCTCGCCCAGTCAAGACGATCTGATCGACAATGAATATCTATATTGTGAGAAAACGGGTTTTACATCACGAAGTGCATCAGATCACGTGAGCACCTTGATAAAAAACTTGAAAAGATTTGGAAAATATCTGTTGACAACGGTGGCGGTGCAAATGCTGTGCAAATCCTGCAATCGACCGAAATCTGCATGACAGTTTACGAACCGGATTTCGATTCCGGTGCGCGATTTTGATTGGACTATTCATAGACTCGTTAGTCAAGCCAAAATCTAACTCCGTAATACAAGCCTAGTTCGGCAAGGGTAAAAACTAGACTTTTAGTCAGTTAACACTCTTGCCTCAAGAAGATGACAGACCAACTATGATTCAACCCCGTGGAACTGGTAACAAATCAAAATACCTGTGAATTGTTTTTCACATTGAGTTTTAATGATAAGTAGAAATACCTTAACTTGAAAAAAGGTAAGCCAATAGTAATCATTTACTAGAAAAATAGAAGATGTTAAGGTATTTTAATGTTAGAATCTTCACATGCTTTTATATATAGGAAATGACAACATAGTCTGACAGAGTACAGTTAGCCAATAGCAAATTAAGTTCTTATTCAGACTCTCACTGTTCACAGAATAAACCATGTACACTGGAGTGTCTGGCAATAAACAAAGGATTGTCAGACCAGATGCTTCAGGACAAACACCATGTACACTGGAGCGTCTGGCAATAAACAAAGGATTGTCAGACCAGATGCTTCAGGGCATACACCATGTACATTGGAGCGTCTGGCAATAAACAAAGGATTGGCAGACCAGATGCTTCAGGACAAACACCATGTACACTGGAGCGTCTGGCAATAAACAAAGGATTGGCAGACCAGATGCTTCAGGGCATACACCATGTACACTGGAGCGTCTGGCAATAAACAAAGGATTGGCAGACCAGATGCTTCAGGGCATACACCATGTACACTGGAGCGTCTGGCAATAAACAAAGGATTGGCAGACCAGATGCTTCAGGGCATACACCATGTACACTGGAGCGTCTGGCAATAAACAAAGGATTGGCAGACCAGATGCTTCAGGGCATACACCATGTACACTGGAGCGTCTGGCAATAAACAAAGGATTGGCAGACCCGATGCTTCAGGGCATACACCATGTACACTGGAGCGTCTGGCAATAAACAAAGGATTGTCAGACCAGATGCTTCAGGACAAACACCATGTACACTGGAGCGTCTGGCAATAAACAAAGGATTGGCAGACCAGATGCTTCAGGGCATACACCATGTACATTGGAGCGTCTGGCAATAAACAAAGGATTGGCAGACCAGATGCTTCAGGACAAACACCATGTACACTGGAGCGTCTGGCAATAAACAAAGGATTGGCAGACCAGATGCTTCAGGGCATACACCATGTACACTGGAGCGTCTGGCAATAAACAAAGGATTGGCAGACCAGATGCTTCAGGGCATACACCATGTACACTGGAGCGTCTGGCAATAAACAAAGGATTGGCAGACCAGATGCTTCAGGGCATACACCATGTACACTGGAGCGTCTGGCAATAAACAAAGGATTGGCAGACCAGATGCTTCAGGGCATACACCATGTACATTGGAGTGTCTGGCAATAAACAAAGGATTGGCAGACCAGATGCTTCAGGGCATACACCATGTACACTGGAGCGTCTGGCAATAAACAAAGGATTGGCAGACCAGATGCTTCAGGGCATACACCATGTACACTGGAGCGTCTGGCAATAAACAAAGGATTGGCAGACCAGATGCTTCAGGGCATACACCATGTACACTGGAGCGTCTGGCAATAAACAAAGGATTGGCAGACCAGATGCTTCAGGGCATACACCATGTACACTGGAGCGTCTGGCAATAAACAAAGGATTGGCAGACCAGATGCTTCAGGGCATAAACCATGTACACTGGAGTGTCTGGCAATAAACAAAGGATTGGCAGACCAGATGCTTCAGGACAAACACCATGTACACTGGAGCCTAAGGCAATAAACAAAGGATTGTCAGACCAGATGCTTCAGGGCATACACCATGTACATTGGAGTGTCTGGCAATAAACAAAGGATTGGCAGACCAGATGCTTCAGGGCATACACCATGTACACTGGAGCCTAAGGCAATAAACAAAGGATTGTCAGACCAGATGCTTCAGGGCATACACCATGTACACTGGAGCGTCTGGCAATAAACAAAGGATTGGCAGACCAGATGCTTCAGGGCATACACCATGTACACTGGAGCGTCTGGCAATAAACAAAGGATTGGCAGACCAGATGCTTCAGGGCATACACCATGTACACTGGAGTGTCTGGCAATAAACAAAGGATTGGCAGACCAGATGCTTCAGGACAAACACCATGTACACTGGAGCCTAAGGCAATAAACAAAGGATTGTCAGACCAGATGCTTCAGGGCATACACCATGTACATTGGAGTGTCTGGCAATAAACAAAGGATTGGCAGACCAGATGCTTCAGGGCATACACCATGTACACTGGAGCGTCTGGGCAAGATGCTTCAGTGATGTCACAGCATCTATGGTGATTGTGAAGTTTGTGTTTCAGGATGAGTGAGTGAGTGAGTTTGGTTTAACACCGCTTTTAACAGTATTCCAGTCATATCACGGCGTGTCAGCTTGATGTGGGAGGAAAGCCCGAAGTGATGCAGGTCTCAGATGTTAACCACTTCGGTGAAACACACGAGCACAGGTATGGGGCTGACAAACCTAGAAACATCATCAGGGTGAACCGGGATTCAAACCCACAATCATAGGTTTTGGTGTGCCCAAGGAACTCAGCACAGCAAAACTCGGCGCGCCTTAGACCACTGGGCCACCAGTGCCCCCTTTTCAGGATGAAAGGCATGTCATCTCATAAGATAGTAACAGATCAAAAAGTAAACAGATAACTGATAAAAGATAATCACATATAAACCAGAGTGAAAATGGCATCTTCGGAAGTGCTTGCTAAATCTCCAACATCAACATCACATATAAACCTTATTCATCAAATTGTTCATATATTAGACAATTGGATAATTCTTACTTAACATCATAATACATCACATTCAGTTTGGAATATCAAAAAGTTCAAATCATTATTAATGTTCAAATAGTTGTTCGACAAACAAAGATATATTGTTGGGGAACAAACAACATAACCCTTACCATATAAATGTAGCATTGCACCCTTGGTATGAGTGTCACCTACTGTGTAACATTATCTAATGATTCAAGTCATGGACACAGGTATTACAAATAGGTTGATAAAAACACATCATATGTTTTTACTTCCTATTTCATCATATGGATGCAGAAGTACAAACAAATCAAGACAGACAAACACATCTAGTAAAAGATAAAACAAAGACATGAAGAGGTCACACACCCACTGTCATCAAGAATGTGCTATCACCATGGTTACAACTACTGACTACATGTCAACATATTACAAACAGAATACAATGCACTAACAGATGTAACATTCAACTGCAGTTATGTATGTATCTATTCATACCAACTAAAAACCCATTCAGATATTAGTTCACAATGAACCCAAAAATCCTTAGGGAAAATAATGAACTATCACCCCTATTTGTTAATCATACAAGCAAGCTTAAAGAAAGGGATGGGTGAAAACAATCCCAACAAAAGAATAGTATGAAGCTAACATCTACCATAATGAATATGTATATATGTTGAAGCAAAACATCTGATTGAGAGTAAAGCGTCTGCCTACCTTGCTTCTGTTTATCAGACAGACTATCTCTCTTGTCATTGGGTTCTGGCGACATTGGTCTTGGATTGGGTATATTTGTTAAATCAAACTCAACAAAATCAATAGAGGCTGAAACAGAAAAAATAACCAACATTAATATTTTAAAGCTTCCGTTGTGCCACCCCAAAGGAAAATATGAGAACAAAAACTGGTAAAACAAATTTCAAAATACGTCTTCCGTTTACATAAACATTCTTAAACATTAGTTTCTAATGCCTCACTAAACAATATTCCAGCCAATATGGCTGGGTCTGCACCGACACATCAGTGATTGATATTCTGAGCAACAAACTACCCACTTGGGGTACCAAGAGATGCTATCAACCAAGTCAGTGAGTCTGACCATCCGATCCATTTAGCTGCCTCTTGCAACCAGCATAGGTTGCTGGGGATCTATTCTGCATTAAAGGTATGCAGAAAAAATATTTTGGTGAAAATGGTAAACATACTTTACAAATGACTTTCACTGTGTTCACTGTGACCTTGACCTCATACATAGGTCCCTCACAGCCTTTTCAGATCGCAGACCACCCCACATAGGGCTGCTTAATTAACTTACACAAACTTAAATCAAAACAAACAAAAGGTAATATTAAACATACTAATCTGGCCCACATTATAAAAATAAAAACATAATCAACATCACTTCCCAAACTTTACCATAGACTTATCATGCTTATGATGGTTGTTTATTTATTGACAAGTCATTGAAACATGACAAGAGACTGACAGGGATACAAGTTTGTACAATAAAAGCTGTAAGTAATTGGGCCTGGTAATGTAAGTAAGATAACTCTCATCCCCGGAAGTGATTATTCCAGCCAATCAAAACCCGAGTTACATTGCAACAGACAATTCAATCGAAACTTACTGCTAAACCCATCGTTACAGGTGCTAACCATTCTAACTTTCGAGGTTACAAAAATTATTTATTTATTCCAATCACTTAAATTTGTTTACTTCCAGTTTTGGCACAGATTGATGAAACTTATAGTTTCAAATTTACGAATGAAAAAACATTTAGGATATTATTATTCAATTTTTGGGTGCCATGATATTCATTTTTTGCACCTTAAGGAATCTTGAGTGGAAAGGTCCCCATGGCCGTGTTATGAAATAAGCCCTGTGAGTATGAAAGAGTTACCTGGTTTCTTAGACCCCGTCTTTTTCTGTTCTATTAAGGTGGTTATTAGCTTCTGTATGGTCAGCTCATCAGAGTGTCTCTTCAGTTCTTGGTAAGCCTGAAACCACATTAAACATTTAAGGATTGACTGTGTATTTTTTCGGTTCATTGAAGTAGGAATCGAAAAAGCGATGTGCAAACTGTATGTATCCGCATAGTGGATTCTTACAAAAGTTTGCACATCGGTTTTTCAATTCATATCTCAATGAACCGAAAAAATAGACAGTCAATGCTTATGATTAAATTCGACAACGTAAAACATGTTTTATCTACAATAGTTTAACCAAAAACAGTTGTATATATCAAAACAGACAAAAATGACGAGATTGACAAACATTCCAAGTGTAGGAATACATACTGTGGCGTGACATGAATCAGGCGATCGTTTATTTATGCACATAACTTGACACGCCTACACAGTCAGTAGCCAATCAACGGAGAGGAAGATCAAAACAATTTTCATTGGACCTGTCAATTAAGGCAAGAGGCGAAAAGAACTGCAACAGTCAAACTGTAACGAACCAGAACAAATATGTCTGGGAGAAGGCGGCTGTTTCAAATTACATGGTCAGTTACTGGTAGCCAGATTCAAACATTACTTCCCTGATTACGGTAAAACACAGTTAGAAATGAAACCCGAAGACATGAAAGTTGAACCGAGGTGAGCGGGAAAAAAAACAGGCGGGCGAGTCTGCACGTTTTCCGTTTCATTCATTCTCGGCCTTCAGTTTCAAAGGGTTGTTTGGACAATGAATATGCATGAAAGTTGCAAAATGTCCTGTGCATGACAATACATGTGAGCAGAAAGGGAATTCCCTCGACTGTAATACTGGGATTCCCCGATATTCCGAAGTAATGAAAGTAGTGCGCCTCGGTAGGCGTGGCTTAATTTTTTACATTCATTAGGAAATGAATGCAATAACACGTGACCAATTCAGCTAATCAGAATACAGGAATTTCCATGAACACAACGAAAATTTAATTATAAACGCATGCATCTCTGTGCATGAGGAAACAGGGAGAATCCCTGAAGATGAAATCAAGTAAAGCTGTCATAGCTGTGAGGCACAAATAAGTGACATACGCGCTCCTGAACAAATAATCTTTACATTTTTCAGATCAATATTCAATAAAGGATTCTTCATCTTGCTGTTTTATAAAACAGTTTTATAAAGAAACCTCCCTGGACTCTAAAAGAATGTATTTTTAAAATTGTCCTCCATAATTTTTTCTTGAACATGTTAAACAACTACATAATGTTTTAACAGAATGTACCTGTCCAAGGACAACATGTTCATTCTCCCAGCTTCTGGCGTATGTGTCAATGAAGTCCTTCATCTGACTGATGTGTTCCTCTTCTAGCTCTTGGAAGCGCTACACAGACAAACCACATACACCATCACATATTCACCTGTGTTCTGTTATACAATAAACACAAATAACCACTTGGAGTTAACACTAGGGCTAGGACAATACACCAACTGTGCGATCCGATATGTATCTTGATACCTTGCTCACAATCTGATATGTATCACGATACTTGCATGTGCACCTTTCTCATAGACAGGAAGCCAAATACCTAGCACACCAACGATTTACAGTTGGCAGTTTCAAGCATGGTGCAATGAATGAAAATATTTACGTTTTCACTAGTAATTAATGTTTGGTGTAACATTTATTAAAGAATACATTTAAGGTAAGAATCTATACTTCTTACTTATTGTGCGATTGTGATCGATATTTGAATTGAGAAGTAAATAATTGTGACCTACCAATGCATCGGTGTCTTGTCCCACTTTAGTCATATACGTAATATATAGGTATGCAGGTTCTCATAGGTTCAACACAGATTTTGGATGTTTCAAAGGATTTGATAAGGTTCAAACATATTGTTTCAAGAATCACATTATTTTACTGCTGTTAATAAGATAAAAAAAATACTCACACAACAAGAATTTGTCATCTTTTTCTCAAATTCATTCCGGACATTAGCAAACTTATCTACAAGGTTTTTATATTCATCACCTGAAAAGATGATAAACATGATACAGGCATGGGTGAATGTGTCACTGAACCAGGTGTATTACTGAGTAGCCAATCTATAGTTCTGTACTGTTTCCCCAGCAGGCACTGCATTAGTGTTAGAAATTAGTACTAGTCATAGAGTCCTGGCCAAACTGCCCAATAGTTAAGGTATCATAAGGACTAGTAGAAACTTGCCCTTTTTAAGGGTTTTGCTATATGTTACCATTATAAGGACCAGTTGACTAAAAATGTTAGTTTCTACCGCTGACTGTATGCTGTGTACAACACGTTTCTATTGCTGAAATATTAAATACAGCATTGCACTGCCAAGTTTTTCCTTATGGTTCCTTCCCCATCATAATTTCCTATCCATCAACACTGTTTAATGTGTGTCTCCTTGATTCCCTGATGTTTAGAATCAAGCTTGCCTTATTACATGTAGAACTGTATCCAGTGAAGAGCTGAGATTGCATTGACACTTTCATAGTCTGTCAAACATGTTAACATAACCTTGTTTCAAATATCTATGGCTATATAATCCCCAAATAATGCATGTTGAGGAACTACTAAGCTTATTTCCTGGTTATATGAAACTGAATATATTAGGTGATATTCACGTTATCATTTCCGTAGACATACCATCCCATGACTCATCTACTGAATCACTTACTGCTGCGCTATGTAATCAAGGGTAATGTTATTCCGTGCAACCCATTAACAGTAACATATTGAGGGTTGACCATGCAACTGGAGCCTAAACCTGCAACATCTTTTGTTTCCTCATCATTGCCTAAGGCAAACATAGTGAACATGGTGAATCAGTAGTTTCTTCAGCCACATGACTAGTAGGTAGGTAGGTTGGTTGGTTGGATGGTTGGATGTGTTTAACGCCGCACTCAGCAATTTTTCCAGCTGTATGACGGCGGTCTGTAAATAATCGAGTCTGGACAAGACAATCCAGAGAATAATATCATGAGCATCGATCCACGCAATTGGGATCAATGTCATGCATCAACCAAGTCAAAGAGCCTGACCACCCGATCCCGTTAGTCGCCTCTTACGACAAACATAGTCACCTTTTACGGCAAGCATGGGTTGCTAAAGAGACCTTTTCTACCCCGGAATCTTCACAGGTCCATGACTGATAGGGCTTCTATTGACAATTGTGTAAAGCTAATCTATACATCACACTGGAATATGTAATGTAATACTTACATGCTTTTTTGTACTTTGTTTCTGCCTGAAAGAGAAAAACACAAAGATATTTTCATGATGTCTCAATGATAACTTTCAGCTTTTATGTAAATTCAGTGAACAAATTCATGATGGCCTTAGACACTCGGCCAAAGTTTCAGTTTCTTCTATTTCAGCATTTTCTTGAACACACAACAGATAGACCACAAAATTGGGCCTACTCTACCTGCAAGCTTGGTAACTAGTGACATGGAACATACAAGTCAAAATGTGATATAATACCTTTTCTATATCTTTCTGAGATGCATTTTCTCTCCTTAATCGCTCCAATTCTGCACAGCGTGTGTGATAGATTTCTTTGGCCTAAAAATGAAAAAGGCAATACTTAAGTAACCATGAACATGAAACCACATTATTAAAACATTATTAAAACATGTAGTATTTGTTATGTTCATATCACAATTATTCCTGTGACAACAGTGTCAATGTGGAACTCAGTGTGAAGGTATGTCACTATGTGTACTTGATCAGAAACATAATACACCGGAACTAATCCATGTCACATTAACAGAAACCATAAGAAATTCAAAACGACTCCATGCATCCGAGTTCTTTTGGATGTCATTATTATCATCATTATAGATTATTAGAATTATAGAATATTTAATAAAAAGTGTTGTGAGTTTATGAAAAATCACCCTGTCTTTCATGATGCAAAGTTTGCTACAGGAAATGGAATTACAAGGAATTGTTAACACCCATTTAGAGTGCTATACTATTGTCAGTGATGGTAACATATGCACTAACTAGCGCAATTGTAATTATTAAGATGATATAGTTGCAAATACCCAATTTATGTGATTATTGTTGTGTGAATCGGGCAATGTAATGCAGCAATATCGCACCCCAAAGTGAGAATGACACTGCCATAAAGAAAGCCCGGTTTTGTAAATCATATACCATGTGTACAGTGTAACAACAGACTCCAAACAATCAACTCACTTTGTGTACAGCTACTGTTGTGTGTTGGATACTTTGAACAATTTCTAATGTGCCAGCCTCGCTCTCTTTCATCTGAAGATGGAAAATATCCTCCAGAAACATCACAAAATACATGTAACAAAAAACAATACGACATGCAAACTAGCCACAGGTTACAATGGTCGTAGATCAGCTTAAACTTATGAATATGCAAAAACAAATTCATTTACTCTGCACAATGGACCCGAACCTGCAGGTGACAATTCCCCACAACGTTCTAATGTATACAACTCAAAAGAAGTTAAGGAACACCTGATGACAGATTAACAATAGCAATTTGAAAGGCACGAGTGTTCTTGAACTTCTTTTGAGTAGGATATGTTTGAAACTTGAGTTCGGTGCATTAAACATGGTAAACATAAGCATTCTTTGAATTACCAGTACCTGTGAAGTAAAAGTACTTGAGTGTAATATGAAGGTTGTGATATTTACATAATGTTTTCATCTAAATAAAATCTGAACAAATCAGGAAGCCCCACAAAACTCAATCATCTAGGAAGTGTTGGAGAAGGTGACACTGACCGCCTTGTGACGCTTGTGTTGTTCCTCATTGTAGCGGACAATGTCCTTGATGAGGTCTGACCACGTGTGCACCAGCTGCATGTGGAGGTTGGCCAGCTTCTCCACCAAGCTCTTCAGCACATGCCAGAAGGGGGCAAAGCTCCTGGCAACGGCAACAAACTTCCATCAGTCATCACATCAATCATAGTGGAAAGACAGAATTAAGAAGATGAATACTTTCAAATACATATCATTGCCTTCTCAACATGCCTTAAACTTGCAGAGCAAGATTAACTTATACATCATATCAATGCTTGCATAAGACAAATGTTAGCCAAAACATTTCAGTTTTAATCTTAGTGCAAAAACATGGCAAAACAGATGTGGGCTCACAACCATAAAATCATAATTCTATTTGAAACAGAAGTATGGGAGTATGCTAACTAAGAAGCATGATGGACACTTCTGTAAAGGGATTGTTTCTTACCCAACATGAGAATTGTTGCTGGCACTGCGGGCAAGTTTAGTAAGAAGTTTACTATAACTTTCCTCCACTTGACAACTGTAAGAAAGTTGTACAGTGTAATAACTTCTGAACACATTACAAATGGTCGCTAACAAGGTAGACACTTTGATCTACAGAAACAGAAACTATTCCATATTCTACCATGAATTTGGAAATTAATAGATTCTGATTAGTCAGCCAGAGGCATCAAATCTAAGTAACCACCTCTTTCTCACTCATTGTCGGTAGGCATTATTAAATAATTGTATGTACAATTATAGGTAATAAAATGTAGGTACTTTAATATTAGATCTTCACGTTGGCTTGCGAAGTACTTGTGCTACACATTTCGATTGTGATTAAAGTATGATAAAAAATAACCCCCAATTTTGGAGCACTTTTCATTAATAAAGAACCAAACATTGCTTAAACATGTTAAAGGCTATCAGTGTTCCCTTAATTCAGATCAACAACCCACTCAAAACATAGGAATAATTCCATGCCGCTTCACTCAACATATTGGCCGACAGTAAATATTTTGTGTTAAATTTTGACATGGTGGAATGGAGATTAACAAATTGTGTCTTCTTCAGTATTGAGCATGTTGAGCTAGGTTACATGTAGATTTTGCTAAATTTAACATTTGAAACCTCACGCTGCACGTTGAGTTCCAAATTTAATCTGGAACAGTTAAATCCGCAGGTAAGTTGAGGTGACCTAGCTCTACACTGACAACACAGTCTGTTTATCTCAACCATACTTTTTATATTTATACAATAGGGGCATCATTATCAATCATTACGATCAAACTCAATTATGTGAATCACCTATAGTTTTAGGTGGACAACATATATAATCATGACAATTATGTACACCATTAATCCAAATATGGCCTTGGTTTCCTTCTACAGATATCATTAACATGATAAATGACAAACAAGTGTATTATCAGCTTTGTCAGTTGTGAATAGTGTAAATACTGTTATACAGACACTGCGAATCAATGGTTCATATTATCATCAGATCATGATGTGGCCCCCCAGACAGAATTATCCAAGCACATATTGGTGTGTAGCATTCAATTAATGAGCATGCTAAGTGACAATTACTACTCCTCAAATGTTTACTGTATGGCATTACATTGTGTAAAAGAATACATACCTTTCTCTCAGGAAATCAATAAGTTCTTTGCTCGAAGTTTGGCCATTTTTCATGTTATGGTACAATACATAAAAGCCATTGTTTTTTTCTCCCTGTAAAAATAAAAACAAATACTATGAACAGGATCATGATGATGAATACAGATACTAAAATCTATCATGATCTATAGCACTGGGGCAGAACCTATGTGCATCATGTGAACACAGATTGAATTTGACTAAACAAGATTACCGTATTCGACGTAATAAGCGCCCCGCTCTAATAAGCGCCCACGGCGATATTTGCTAATATATTGGCTAGTGAACAATCCCAATTAGCATCCTTCGTGTGTTATATGCACCCTTAATCACGGGAAATTAAATTCTGGAAAAATATATCTGGCGTGTCTTATACGCACAGACTTTTCTTTTGTATCATTTCAGGCTGTCAGCCTAAACCACAAATTTACGATCTTTCAACTCTTTCACCAAAATTATATTCTAATAAGAGCCCCCTCTTTCTTATTTTTAGAGCGCTCTGGGCGCTTATTACGTCAAATACGGTAATAAAACATTACTTAATATATATTGTATATATGGTTGTCCTTGTGTATGTTACTACTTAGAATAAAAAACAAATATCAAAATACAACCACAGCGCACATGCATCCATGCACCTGTACATTTCTTCACTGCAGTCAAGTGCATACATGACAAAATTCTTTATCATATTTACCCAAAAGGTATCACAGCCTAACCACTAAATGATATATTTCAGACAAACATCTATTGTCTATTTTTATGAACTTATTGATGTATCTTGACATCTTCAATATCAGGGTACAATTTTGTTCTTCATAATCCACTGCACCTAGTGCAGGCTGCAGTTAACAACTGACAACACATAAAAGCAGATAAACTGTCTGCACCACATACTTTACTGGAAACTTAAAACAAAAAGACATAACCTTAGACAATGTGCACCATGTTTTTAGATATTACCAGTAAGCATGGTAAGCAGTGACTATTCTGGTAAAGTACATTAACACCTAAACATTACTGTAGTACATGATCATGATCACCTCGAATTACCTACAGTCGATCAATACACTTTCTTAATTACAAGTCCATGCAGGTAAAAATTTGTACGTCTCAATGCTTTTCGTAGTATGCTCAAAGTATGAAGATGCCTGGGATAGTGTCCCACTTCACCATGTTCACAATTGCTTTCCTGGGCTAGATTGAGACTGCACATCTAAACTGTCTGTTTGCATATCAGTATCAGAACAGTCAGTGTCCAACCCAGACCGCGCGATTCATGCTTAAAAAAAAATCAAAGCGCGATCTGTCACGCACAGTAATTTCTTGTACAGTCACTTACTTTATCAGCAGTTTATCCCTACCTTTAGATTCAATACTCACTAAATCTTTAATCAATTAACGAAGAAAGACAGTTCACAGCAAACATTGTAAACAACTGTCGAAGACCAATCGATAACAACCTGAAGTTCGAACAAGAGTGACGTCCCTTGGGTTGCTGAATAAATTATCGATAGGATTGGCATAGGAAACGAAATTTGATTTACTTTAGTAGAAAACGTATCAAAACTTTGATCAAAATTATGTTGTATTTTGTTGTTTAGTAATCAAAAATCTTTGACAAGATGTTTAAACACAATAAATATTCTATCTTGAATAGTTCTGAAAATATTTCTGAGCATTTTAGATCGTTTTAGTTTAGTTTCTGAAATCACACAATATGAATCACCAACTGTCATAGCAGACGATCTTTTGAATAGTGAATGACCATGTCGCGCAAAAACAAAAGAATTACAGACTTTTGTAATCAAAATAGAAAAAAGCACAAAGCATTGTTATTCATATCAGTTCTTTATTCTGATCTGTTACACTTTTATATGATGATGTTCCAGTACATAATAGAAAATAAGACATTTTTTAAGAAAGCAATTATCCCCCGTACTTTTTCAAAATCCCCCCTATTTTCTACATGATGGGGGGACAAGTCCCCCCTTGATTTTCATTTCTGGGTTGGACACTGTCAGAATGGTCAGCTGATTTTGTCACATTTTGACACTTGTCAAATTCAATCACCACAGGCACTGTGTCCAATTTCAGGTTATTTTTAATGGAAAAGGGAATGTTGCGACAGTTTTCTCTCTGACATCTTTATAATGCTCTGCAAATGTATAATCAAATATTTGACTGACTGCACTCAGTGAACTCTGCATATAAACTTAGGCTGCATAAGCTAATGTTAACCTGCACAAGTGCAGTTTTGTCAATACAAAATCACAGCCTGCATATAAATTATTCAAACCAGTACAAAATTATACGATTTTCATAAACAGTGAGCATGACATCTGCTGAACAAAATCAGTTAAAAGTTTAAACTATTTTGTGAGGATTTCTCTGTTTCAGCTTGTCAAATTAAGCCACTGCTAACAACTGAAAAAGACCTCTTGTAAATTTGGGGCCATGGAGCCACATGCGTGACACTGTGACATATCAATTAATGAAGCACCACACTGAAAGCTGACAGGACATTTAAGTCAAACTAGTCACAAGCCACCTTTAAAATGTTTAACAATCAAGACAATCAACACTCTCCTACTCAGTGTTCCTTGCAGCCAGCCTTGTACCTCTGCTACAGGGAGATGGGACGATTCGTCACATATTACAGTCAATTCAACACATGATCATGTTAAATTTGTTTTGCATCTGTTTCATTTTTTTTGAAGATTCTACACATTTGAATAAACATATGTCATAAAATGGTTAACTTTCATTTAGAAAATATCCAAAGATGTGAAAAGTTATTTCCATTTGCTTACATATTCTTTGTTTACATTAGTTGTATGGCTCTACGTGCTGTAGTCGAGGTTCGATGGAGAACTAGCAATATGGTCACTTTGATGTATAAAGATATATTGTCATGCTCCTCACTGATGCAGGTGTAGTAACATATCAATAAAATTGTGTAAAATGCGCTGAAAGGCTTCTATAAGGCCAGTTTGCTCGGTTTTCAGTATAAGTATGTTTGTTCACAAACTAGAGAAAAGTCCAGTCAAGTGATATACAAATTAGCCTGTGGAAGTGGTGTAATGCAAGTCATCACTGCACCAAATTGTGTACAATGGTGACAGTAGCATGAAATCTTCAGGTACAACTTACATTAATGAAGAAACTTTGGACATTAAAACTGAAGCTTAACATCAGTATTTGACATGTGTCTCATGATCTTACAAAGTGATAGGGGGCGGTCGGGTAGCCTAGTGGTTAAAGCGTTCGCTTGTCATACTGAATACCCAGGTTCGATTCCCGACATAGGTACAATGTGTGAAGCCCATTTCTGGTGTTCCCTGCCGAGATATTCCTGGAATATTGCTAAAAGTGGCGTAATACCATACTCACTCATGACAAAGTGATAGGGTCCTTATTAAATTCTGGTTAAGTGCAAACAATTATTACCAAGTATGTGCCTACATAGAACAGGATATGGTGAAAATAGTGGGCAAACAGTTATTTGCGTTAGAAGTGATAGCAACCATGTGTACAAGTCATGCAAATTGATATCTTCTATGTGACATACTGTCTGACATTGACATAAACATGATGACAGACAAGTCTGACCTGTCAAGTGGTGAGATCATACATAGGGTGTTCAAAGCTATGATCTGATGTAAGGACATGCATAGTCATTGATGACTAAGAGTAACTTCAGTAAGGAAGCTGACATTCATTATATACATTAAAAACAAGTTGCAATAAACAGCCATCTACAATCTGAATCTAAATTAGAGAATGACCCAAACAGCCATGCCCAAAACAGGTCAAGTATACAAAACATGGGAGGTCAAAGGAGGTGTGTCAGTTTAGCTCTTCACTCTTTCCACTTCCGCTTTTTGAAAAGTCTCGCTAACTGTTCAATTTGTGCCGTTTCACTTCAAGAACTCATACCTCATACAGCACCATGGAAGGTCGCTATGCAGTAAAAATATAGTGACTTCAATCAAACCAGATGAATCCCATGAATAACATATTTTCGGCACCACTGTATGGGATGATTCGGCCTCCATGTCGAGAGCATCTTCATCTCGGGCAGCAGAAATATATCCTCGCATATCACACGATCGACTGCACGAGCATTAATGCGCATAGCACACAGCGGTATATGGACATCCTTGTTCACTATAATTACTTGCCACTTACCCAAAAGAAATCTGCAAAAGTTGACATTCTCGTTTTCACTCATTTGTACACCAGAATATGGCGTTTATTTGGATATGAATGCGCATGCGCAATCTCGCCACTTCCCGTTTCACGGATCTCGAGAGTTGAAAAACTTTGGCGGGAGAAGGAAAAACTTTTGAATATTTTTTTACAGACTTTCTAGATCGTTTGTATTACATTTCTTACAAATATATAACCCAAGCAAATGCGCTGACACAATGCATCTTTTCAAGATGCATAGACCAAAATATGCCACGCCCCCCTTTCCCAAGAATACCTTTTAAGTTGTTTCTACAGAAAATCATGTCTAGAGCTCTAGTACTTCAACAAAAATCTGTATGGTAACGAAAATAGCATTTTAAAACTGTAATAAGTTTATCCTTTTACTAGTGTAGTAAAAATAATCCCTTTATAAGCCTAGATCTCATCAATGTAGATCTAGATCTATTAATATACAGTCGCCTTCGTGTTCCAGTCGATAGAGCGTCTGTCTAGAGAACGGTGTTTCAATCTCCTTGAAGATAGTACTTGTTACCTTATGTGTTCGACATCAAGGGATGACTGGTCGACTCAGCGTCAGTGGGATAGCACTATAAAACAGACGGAATTCCGGACGCGTACAATGAATCTCATCGATAGGACCTATATACATGTACAACGATCAAGAAACCCTGGTCTGGGGTCTTCCCGGTAACCGTCCACTGTCTATAGATCTAGCATAATTAATCAAATAAATACACCGGAGAAGATCCGGGTTAGAATAGATCCAGGTCTTCAGGAACCCATGCTTGTCATAAGTGACGACAATGCATGTCATAAGAGACTAACGGGATCGGGTGGTCAGGCTCGCTGATTTGGTTGATGTCGTCGTATCCCAATTGCGTGGATCGATGCTCATGATGTGCACGATGGTGTAACAGTGAACGACAACGCTACCATGGACCCTGCCACACATTCATTTGCGGCCTCATCGAAGGGCTCGCCATCTCCAACCTGTCCAATGCATGTTCAAGTTGCGGGGGGGGGGGGGGGGGGGGGGGGGGGAACAAGAAGCATTCGTAAAATCTCAATTATTGGCCACACAAGGTTGTTTGTGTATGTGCGTTCTCGCGTTAAGCGCCCTTTCAGTTAAAATAGCATGACATTTAATATTCTTCTATTCTGATTGGCCTACCAGCAATTTTAATTTTAGATCATTGTTCACTTGCTAATCACATCCACAATTTAACTTGAGTGTAAAAACCTATTTGAAAATAGGATTGGTCTGGCTTGGTATGTGATTGTATGGTTTAAGGGACAATTCCGTTATTTGAAGTATCAAACGTTTTCTGTGGCCTACATGGTTAGGTACATTCTAACATACATAGAAATGGCCTGCATATTTTTTATTAGATTTTTGTTTATTATACTGACCAGTGTTAACAATTTTTTGGTCCTGGGGCCCTTGAGGTTTGTTGCAGGGTTGTTTGAAACTCTGATACCTAAACAGGAAAAACTATTGGATATCCTGTGGGGTGCTTGGGATTTAATCAAAACAATGTATATTGTCCTTGAAAAGACTTTAAAAAATAATAATGCTTCAGACATTTGAAAAACAAATGCCTGCCACAAAAAATGTCCACATTGTTGTTCAGGCTTGCTCATAGTTTCTAATAAAAACATGTCACATAAAAAGAATATCTGATAATGATACAACCCCAACAATACCACCATCAGGGATAGATGGTCTGTGGTGCCTTGCTGGACTGTTGACAACAATCTACCATCAGGGATAGATGGTCTGTGGTGCCTTGCTGGACTGTTGACAACAATCTACCATCAGGGATAGATGGTCTGTGGTGCCTTGCTGGACTGTTGACAACAATCTACCATCAGGGATAGATGGTCTGTGGTGCCTTGCTGGACTGTTGACAACAATCTTCCATCAGGGATGGATGGTCTGTGGTGCCTTGCTGGACTGTTGACAACAATCTACCATCAGGGATGGATGGTCTGTGGTGCCTTGCTGGACTGTTGACAACAATCTACCATCAGGGATGGATGGTCTGTGGTGCCTTGCTGGACTGTTGACAACAATCTACCATCAGGGATGGATGGTCTGTGGTGCCTTGCTGGACTGTTGACAACAATCTACCATCAGGGATGGATGGTCTGTGGTGCCTTGCTGGACTGTTGACAACAATCTACCATCAGGGATAGATGGTCTGTGGTGCCTTGCTGGACTGTTGACAACAATCTACCACCAGGGGTAGATGGTCTGTGGTGCCTTGTTAGACTGTTGACAACAATCTACCACCAGGGATAGATGGTCTGTGGTGCCTTGCTGGACTGTTGACAACAATCTACCATCAGGGATAGATGGTCTGTGATGTTGCTGGACTGTTGACAACAATCTACCATCAGGGATAGATGGTCTGTGGTGCCTTGCTGGACTGTTGACAACAATCTACCATCAGGGATAGATTGTCTGTGGTGCCTTGCTGGACTGTTGACAACAATCTACAATCAGGGATAGATGGTCTGTGGTGCCTTGCTGGACTGTTGACAACAATCTACCATCAGGGATAGATGGTCTATGGTGCCTTGCTGGACTGTTGACAACAATCTACCATCAGGGATAGATGGTATGTGGTGCCTTGCTGGACTGTTGACAACAATCTACCATCAGGGATAGATGGTCTACGGTGCCTTGCTGGACTGTTGACAACAATCTACCATCAGGGATAGATGGCCTGTGGTGCCTTGCTGGACTGTTGACAACAATCTACCATCAGGGATAGATGGTCTGTGGTGCCTTGCTGGACTGTTGACAACAATCTACCATCAGGGATAGATGGTATGTGGTGCCTTGCTGGACTGTTGACAACAATCTACCACCAGGGAAAGATGGTCTGTGGTGCCTTGCTGGACTGTTGACAACAATCTACCATCAGGGATAGATGGTCTGTGGTGCCTTGCTGGACTGTTGACAACAATCTACCATCAGGGATAGATGGTCTGTGATGTTGCTGGACTGTTGACAACAATCTACCATCAGGGATAGATGGCCTGTGGTGCCTTGCTGGACTTTTGACAACAATCTACCATCAGGGATAGATGGTCTGTGGTGCCTTGCTGGACTGTTGACAACAATCTACCACCAGGGATAGATGGTCTGTGATGTTGCTGGACTGTTGACAACAATCTACCATCAGGGATAGATGGTATGTGATGTTGCTGGACTGTTGACAACAATCTACCATCAGGGATAGATGGTGTATGGTGCCTTGCTGGACTGTTGACAACAATCTACCATCAGGGATAGATGGTCTGTGATGTTGCTGGACTGTTGACAACAATCTACCATCAGGGATAGATGGTCTGTGGTGCCTTGCTGGACTGTTGACAACAATCTACCATCAGGGATAGATGGTCTGTGATGTTGCTGGACTGCTGACAACAATCTACCATCTGGGATAGATGGTCTGTGGTGCCTTGCTGGACTGTTGACAACAATCTACCATCAGGGATAGATGGTCTTTGGTGCCTTGCTGGACTGTTGACAACAATCTGCTGTCAGGGACAGACCAGGTGAGTTAGTACTACATGTCAGGTGAGTTGTTACTACAGGTCAGCTGAGTTGTTACTACATGTCAGGTGAGTTGTAACTACAGACCAGGTGAGTTGTTACTACAGGTCAGGTGAGTTGTTACTACAGGTCAGGTGAGTTGTTACTACAGGCCAGGTGAGTTGTTACTACAGGCCAGGTGAGTTAGTACTACAGGCCCAGGTCAGTTGGTTCTACAGGCCAGGTGATTTAGTAATACAGGTCAGATGAGTTAGTACTACAGGTCAGGGGAGTTGTTACTTCAGGCCAGGTCAGTTAGTACTACAGGCCCAGTGAGTTGTTACTACAGGTCAGGTGAGTTGTTACTACAGGTCAGGTGAGTTGTTACTACAGGCCAGGTGAGTTGTTACTACAGGCCAGGTGAGTAAGTAATACAGGTCAGGTGAGTTAGTACTACAGGTCAGGTGAGTTGTAACTACAGACCAGGTGAGTTAGTACTACAGGTCAGGTGAGTTGTTACTACAGGCCAGGTGAATTAGTACTACAGGCCAGGTCAGTTAGTACTACAGGTCAGGTGAGTTGTTACTTCAGGCCAGGTGAGTTGTTACTACAGGCCAGGTGAATTAGTACTACAGGCCAGGTCAGTTAGTACTACAGGTCAGGTGAGTTGTTACTACAGGCCAGGTGAGTTGTTACTACAGGCCAGGTGAATTAGTACTACAGGCCAGGTCAGTTAGTACTACAGGTCAGGTGAGTTGTTACTTCAGGCTAGGTCAGTTAGTTCTTCAGGCCAAGTGAGTTAGTACTACAGGTCAGGTGAGTTAGTACTGCAGGCCAGGTGAGTTAGTACTACAGGTCAGGTGAGTTGTTACTACAGACCAGGTGAGTTAGTACTACAGGTCAGGTGAGTTGTTACTACAGGTCAGGTGAGTTGTTACTACAGGCCAGGTGAGTTATTACTTCAGCCCAGGTGTAATTACGAGATAATTCCCTGCTGCTAGTGTGTATCATCAGCCATGACCAGACTGTAGCATGACAGGTGGATGAGAGATGATGAGAGACAGTGTTTGATAACACGCTGTCTCTCAGTAGATAAATATCAGTAAATATTTGTTATGAAGGATTTGATAATCCAAGTGATCTGTGAAAAATATGAAATGAAATATGAAAGATATCTATGTGGCATGGCCAGTAACTTTTTTATAGTACTGCTCCTATTATCTATGTGTATGCATGATAGACTGTTAGAGATTAGCATAGCCCTGTGTTATTAATAAGAATTAATTAACATGCAGCCATGCGTTGTGCTATATACTGCCACCATGACACTGGGCACATCTATCAGTAGTGTCAGACAGCTGTTGTGTAGCATTCCCATGACAACTTGCTCTGAAACAGGAGACTACTGAACACAGTACTGGGTGTGAGTCTTTGTAATGATTGCTTGAATCTGGGTTCTGCTTTCATCATGTTATTGATAACAACTATTGTCCTGTGTTTATAGTTACCCTGTTTATAGGAGATACACATACGTATTTCTAAATATCTCTAAAATGAGTTTGGTAAACATCACTTATTTCCAACGACTTACTGCGTGTTTGTATTCGGGGATCAGCACCTAACTATTGTATACCAATTATATATGCTTTTTTGGGTGTTTTGAAGTTGACAACAAAACTTGAATGAGCTGACCCTATATAGATGAACCTTGGTCACTGTTGTATGATTTGGATAAGAAGTGATAAACAATTGATATTATTTCCATGGCTCAAGTCCACTAAACTTGCCCATACCAGTATGAATGAGTGGACCTATCAGTGCTAGATTATCAGGATTGTGTTTGTAGTCACCTGCTGTAGTAAGTTAGACGTGTCTGTGCTGTTCCCCGCGCTCCTCATAGTAAGGTGTGTGTCTGAGATACCCAGCCACCCTCTCGTCTCAGTCTGGTCTCATAGTAAGGTGTGTGTCTGAGATACCCAGCCACACCCTCGTCTCAGTCTGGTCTCATAGTAAGGTGTGTGTCTGAGATACCCAGCCACACCCTCGTCTCAGTCTGGTCTCATAGTAAGGTGTGTGTGTATCTGAGATACCCAGCCACCCTCTCGTCTCAGTCTGGTCTCATAGTAAGGTGTGTGTCTGAGATACCCAGCCACCCTCTCGTCTCAGTCTGGTCTCATAGTAAGGTGTGTGTCTGAGATACCCAGCCACCCTCTCGTCTCAGTCTGGTCTCATAGTAAGGTGTGTGTCTGAGATACCCAGCCACCCTCTCGTCTCAGTCTGGTCTCATAGTAAGGTGTGTGTCTGAGATATCCAGTCACCCTCTCGTCTCAGTCTGGTCTCATAGTAAGGTGTGTGTCTGAGATACCCAGCCACACTCTCGTTTCAGTCTGGTCTCATAGTAAGGTGGTGTGTGTCTGAGATACCCAGCCACCCTCTCGTCTCAGTCTGGTCTCATAGTAAGGTGTGTGTCTGAGATACCCAGCCACCCTCTCGTCTCAGTCTGGTCTCATAGTAAGGTGTGTGTCTGAGATACCCAGCCACCCTCTCGTCTCAGTCTGGTCTCATAGTAAGGTGTGTGTCTGAGATACCCAGCCACCCTCTCGTCTCAGTCTGGTCTCATAGTAAGGTGTGTGTCTGAGATACCCAGCCACCCTCTCGTCTCAGTCTGGTCTCATAGTAAGGTGTGTGTCTGAGATACCCAGCCACACCCTCGTCTCAGTCTGGTCTCATAGTAAGGTGTGTGTCTGAGATACCCAGCCACACTCTCGTCTCAGCCTGGTCTCATAGTAAGGTGTGTGTCTGAGATACCCAGCCACCCTCTCATCTCAGTCTGGTCTCATAGTAAGGTGTGTGTCTGAGATACCCAGCCACACTCTCGTCTCAGCCTGGTCTCATGGTAAGGTGTGTGTCTGAGATACCCAGCCACCCTCTCGTCTCAGTCTGGTCTCATAGTAAGGTGTGTGTCTGAGATACCCAGCCACCCTCTCGTCTCAGTCTGGTCTCATAGTAAGGTGTGTGTCTGAGATACCCAGCCACCCTCTCGTCTCAGTCTGGTCTCATAGTAAGGTGTGTGTCTGAGATACCCAGTCACCCTCTCGTCTCAGTCTGGTCTCATAGTAAGGTGTGTGTCTGAGATACCCAGCCACCCTCTCGTCTCAGTCTGGTCTCATAGTAAGGTGTGTGTCTGACATACCCAGCCACCCTCTCGTCTCAGTCTGGTCTCATAGTAAGGTGTGTGTCTGAGATACCCAGCCTCCCTCTCGTCTCAGTCTGGTCTCATAGTAAGGTGTGTGTGTGTCTGAGATACCCAGCCACCCTCTCATCTCAGTCTGGTCTCATAGTAAGGTGTGTGTCTGAGATACCCAGCCACCCTCTCGTCTCAGTCTGGTCTCATAGTAAGGTGTGTGTCTGAGATACCCAGCCACCCTCTCGTCTCAGTCTGGTCTCATAGTAAGGTGTGTGTCTGAGATACCCAGCCACCCTCTCGTCTCAGTCTGGTCTCATAGTAAGGTGTGTGTCTGAGATACCCAGCCACACTCTCGTCTCAGTCTGGTCTCATAGTAAGGTGTGTGTCTGAGATACCCAGCCACACTCTCGTCTCAGTCTGGTCTCATAGTAAGGTGTGTGTGTGTCTGAGATACCCAGCCACACTCTCGTCTCAGTCTGGTCTGGAGACATTGCTGGGTGTTGGTTATGGATGATGATCTAATAGTCACCGTAAGGAAATGACAAAATAGGCTCGATCGCTAATGGTTAAGAAATAACATATGTGTAACTGTTAACTTCATTGATAATGCATTATTAACATATTGTTCAAAGCAACATCAGGCTTAACTCACTCTCTCTCATCCAAAATAATTAAAACCTCATTGAACTCCATAAATTTTCTGTTGTATATACCAAGTAAAAAAGTGAGGGTGAGCAGCAAATTTGTAAATCAGACAATAAAATATGTCTCACTACTCCCCCCCCCCCCCCCCCCCCCCACTGCCAGTTTCACCCCATCAGCTAACTTGTATACCTCACCCTACCAGCTACCTCCCGCCCCACCCTGCCAGTCTCAGCCAAACCAGTTACCTTGCATACCCCACCCTGCCAGTTTCACCCCCCATCAGCTACCTTGCATACCCCACCAAGCCAGTTTCACCCCCCATCCGCTACTTTGCATACCCCACCCTGCCAGTCTCACCCCCATCACCTACCTTGCATACCCCACTCTGCCAGTCTCACCCCCCATCACCTACCTTGCATACCCCACCCTGCCCGTCTCACCCCCCATCACCTACCTTGCATACCCCACCCTGCCCGTCTCACCCCCCATCCGCTACCTTGCATACCCCACCCTGCCAGTCTCACCCCCCATCAGCTACCTTGCATACCCCACCCTGCCCGTCTCACCCCCCATCAGCTACTTTGCATACCCCACCCTGCCCGTCTCACCCCCCATCACATACCTTGCATACCCCACCCTGCCCGTCTCACCCCCGATCACATACCTTGCATACCCCACCCTGCCAGTCTCACCCCCCATCACCTACTTTGCATACCCCACCCTGCCCGTCTCACCCCCCCATGACATACCTTGCATACCCCACCCTGCCAGTCTCACCCTCCATCACCTTCCTTGCATACCCCACCCTGCCCGTCTCACCCTCCATCACCTTCCTTGCATACCCCACCCTGCCAGCTACCTCCAACCCCACCCTTGCAGTCTCACCCCCCATCATCTACCTTGCATACCCCACCCTTGCAGTCTCACCCCCCATCATCTACCTTGCATACCCCACCCTGCCAGTCTCACCCCCCCATCACCTACCTTGCATACCCCACCCTGCCCGTCTCACCCCCCATCACATACCTTGCATACCCCACCCTGCCCGTCTCACCCCCCATCACCTACCTTGCATACCCAACCCTGCCCGTCTCACCCCCCATCAGCTACCTTGCATACCCCACTCTGCCAGTCTCACCCCCCATCACCTACCTTGTATACCCCACTCTGCCAGTCTCACCCCCCATCAGCTACCTTGCATACCCCACTCTGCCAGTCTCACCCCCCATCAGCTACCTTGCATACCCCACCCTGCCAGTCTCAGCCCCCATCAGCTACCTTGCATACCCCACCCTGCCAGTCTCACCCCCCATCAGCTACCTTGCATACCCCACTCTGCCAGTCTCACCCCCCATCAGCTACCTTGCATACCCCACCCTGCCAGTCTCACCCCCCATCACATACCTTGCATACCCCACCCTGCCAGTCTCACCCCCCCATCACCTACCTTGCATACCCCACTCTGCCAGTCTCACCCCCCATTAGCTACCTTGCATACCCCACTCTGCCAGTCTCACCCCCCGTCACCTACCTTGCATATCCCACCCTGCCAGTTTCACCCCCCATCACCTACATTTTATACCCCACCCTGCCAGCTACCGCCTACCCAACCTCACTAGCAGGTAAGCACAGCACTGACCCACTACTGAGACAAAGTTCTCTTGGAGTTGATGGTATTTGAATGATAGTTCATGTGGTAAGTACATACATGCCGTGTTTGATAGCTCCTTCAAGTCCCATTTACGTATTTATTCTAGTAAAGTAAATGACTTGTTCAAACTGATTTGGATTGCAATGTTGACAATGGAAGAGTGACTTACTCACAAGGAACAGCCTGACTAAGACATGAAGATGAGTGGGAATTGTTTATTGTACAATAAAACACTGCAGGGAGAATAAACCATGAGTGGTATCATGTCATACCACTGTAACATTATATAGTGTGATGTCATTCAACTGTAATTATATATAGTGTGATGTCATACCACTGTAATATTATATAGTGAGATGTCATACCACTGTAATATTATATAGTGTGATGTCATACCACTGTAATATTATATAGTGAGATGTCATACCATTGTAATATTATATAGTGAGATGTCATACCACTGTAATATCATATAGTGAGATGTCATACCACTGTAATATTATATAGTGAGATGTCATACCACTGTAATATTATTCATATTGTGATGTCATACCACTGTAATATTATAAAGTGAGATGTCATACCACTGTAATATTATAAAGTGAGATGTCATACCACTGTAATATTATAAAGTGAGATGTCATACCACTGTAATATTATATAGTGAGATGTCATACCACTGTAATATTATATAGTGAGATGTCATACCACTGTAATATCATATAGTGAGATGTCATACCACTGTAATATTATATAGTGAGATGTCATACCACTGTAATATTATTCATATTGTGATGTCATACCACTGTAATATTATAAAGTGAGATGTCATACCACTGTAATATTATAAAGTGAGATGTCATACCACTGTAATATTATATAGTGAGATGTCATACCACTGTAATATTATATAGTGAGATGTCATACCACTGTAATATTATGCATAGTGAGATGTCATACCACTGTACTATTATATAGTGTGATGTCATACCACTGTAATATTATGCATATTGTGATGTCATACCACTGTAATATTATATAGTGTGATGTCATACCGCTGTAATATTATGCATATTGTGTGATGTCATACCACTGTAATATTATATAGTGAGATGTCATACCATTGTAATATTATATAGTGAGATGTCATACCACAGTAATATTATGCATAGTGAGATGTCATACCACTGTAATATTATATAGTGTGATGTCATACCACTGTAATATTATGCATATTGTGATGTCATACCACTGTAATATTATATATTGTGATGTCATACCATTGTAACTACTAATGTACTTTCACACTCTCAACTTCTCACAAACATGTGGTATAGAACAATGGACTCCGCATTTGATAGAGATGTCTTAAGATCATAAAAATTGTTTTGTTGCGTTTATAATTATTTGAGTATCCTGTGGCAAACTCAAATGTAATGTATTTCCTTCCTGGTGTACATAATAATAACCTATAATCCAAATGAAAAATAAGAATTTCTTTCATAAAATCTCATGTTGGTGAAGGCCAAAGGACATTAAGCATAAACATGTTTTTTCAACACAGGTCATGCTTAAATTGTGTGAAAAAATGCTTTCAACTTCTCTCTTGTCTCAAGACATAAGCTTTATTTCAGTCATGCACTGCAAACTTATAAGTGACATTCATTGTAAAACCTGCCAATAAATATTTATTGGATATACAAAAAATCAATAAGGCATAAATTGTGAAGACATCTTTTATGAATGTCCTAGTGTTCTTACTATCTCAAATTTCCCCATTAAGTCAGGCCAACTATCATGACCCCATATACTGGGGTCATAAATCTGTACTGCCATAAAATACATCTAAGTTAGCCGCAACCTGTTGTTGACCCAAATACTTCAATTTCTCACTACAAAACAAATATTGAAACTATCACATCCTATTAAATTATGAAGTTTTTAATAGGTCCATAATGTTTAAACCGATAGAAATAAAAGGATGATAAAAAGATGAAATAGTAAATGTCATGTTTTTGGCAAGTACTTCTCTGATATTTCATCACCACCTCCATCTGCTGTATCAGCAAGCCAAAATCAAACCAGAGAACTATAAATGTGAGATATTGTGACCACGGACAACTATATAGGTGAGCTACAATACCCAGTCTTTGATCCTACACATGATAGCCAAAGTGACCCAATATTACAAAAAGGTGCGCTACAGTAAACCTCACACAACTATACAGGTGAGCTACAGCATCCAATCCAAGTGACCCAAGACAGCTATAAAGGTGAGCTACAATGAAACCAGACACGATATAGGTGAGCTACAGTGACCCAAGACAACGATATAGGTGAGCTACAGTAACCCCAGACAATATAGGTGAGCTACAGTAACCCCAGACAACGATATAGGTGAGCTACAGTGACCCCAGACAATGATATAGGTGAGCTACAGTGACCCAAGACAACGATATAGGTTAGCTACAGTGACCCCAGACAATATAGGTGAGCTACAGTAACCCCAGACAACGATATAGGTGAGCTACAGTGACCCAAGACAATGATATAGGTGAGCTACAGTGACCCAAGACAACGATATAGGTTAGCTACAGTGACCCCAGACAATATAGGTGAGCTACAGTAACCCCAGACAACGATATAGGTGAGCTACAGTGACCCAAGACAATGATATAGGTGAGCTACAGTGACCCAAGACAACGATATAGGTTAGCTACAGTGACCCCAGACAATATAGGTGAGCTACAGTAACCCCAGACAACGATATAGGTGAGCTACAGTGACCCAAGACAATGATATAGGTGAGCTACAGTGCTAAATAACTGGCCTGCATGCTGGACATGTGTATATGAATGCCTATCACGTGTAACACACTGTTATCACCCAGTTAACCTTGAATCACTGTTACTGCCCTAGCATACCTGAGTTGCCTGCAGCAGTTGCCAGGAGTGCTGCGGGTTACACATCACCCTTCAGAGTCCTACAGCATGAACAGAGCTGGAGTTAGTCGGGGCAGGATCTCCTCTGTACCTTACAAGTTGACTGTTAGACAAAGTGATTAGTCATGAGTAGCACATAATCCAACTCACCAAAGTAAGGTTAGCGGAGTAATAGTTACTCAAGAATTACAGGGAATTACATTTTATCTGTCTGTGGATTTCAGGCCTTTAAAGTGGAACAGTGGAACAGTTGGTGTCAACTATAGCCTATCAACTTTAAGCATTAAACTCAATGCTGAATGAGCTGCTACTGGAAATATTTGCACTACATCCCCGCCCCTGTATGTTTGATAAATATAGGATATCTCTATACATGCTACTGGATCAGTAACCTGACAAATGACTATTTTAGTTCAGTTATGAATCAACGCAGTACATATTTGTTTATTCTCTTTTAAATATCTTCATGCTGGAGTACAACAACCTCGCCATTACATAGGCTGAAGAATATTAATATATAGAGTCTTTTATAAGAAAAACCCAGTTTTCATGGCATGATTTTTCTGTTATTTACAGCAGAAACAAAGATCTATGAATCTATTATACATTATATGATTTGGGACAGGTGGATCCTTCACCAAGGTTAGAAGAAAATGGTTTATATGAATCTAAACTTGTTATACCCTGGAAATTAGGTTAAAGTTTCATAATATCTCCAATCAAATTGTATATTCATTTTGCTTTTTAAGACCTGATGTGAAAGTCATTATCATCATTAACATATTTTGAGGACGCTGTAAGTAATGGCCCTAGAACATCTCTTGGGTGTGTTCACTTCATATAACAGTACATCTCTTGTGTGTGTTCACTACATATAACAGTATATCTCTTGGGTGTGTTCACTACATATAACAGTATATCTCTTGGGTGTGTTCACTACATATAACAGTACATCTCTTGGGTGTATTCACTTCATATAACAGTACATCTCTTGGGTGTGTTCACTACATATAACAGTACATCTCTTGGGTGTGTTCACTACATATAACAGTATATCTCTTGGGTGTGTTCACTACATATAACAGTATATCTCTTGGGTGTGTTCACTACATATAACAGTATATCTCTTGGGTGTGTTCACTACATATAACAGTACATCTCTTGGGTGTGTTCACTACATATAACAGTACATCTCTTGGGTGTGTTCACTACATATAACAGTACATCTCTTGAGTGTGTTCACTACATGTAACAGTACATCTCTTGGGTGTGTTCACTACATATAACAGTACATCTCTTGGGTGTGTTCACTACATATAACAGTACATCTCTTAGGTGTGTTCACTACATATAACAGTACATCTCTTGGGTGTGTTCACTACATATAACAGTACATCTCTGTATTGTAAATGTTCATGATAAATTCTGCAAGCTTATTTTGAAACTGAGAAGAACTGTTCCTAATATTGTAGCAAGAGCTGAACTTGGGAGAAACTCGTTAAAAGTAAACCAACATCTGAAAATCATTAAGTACTGGCTGCGTTTATTAACTCAGAACGAAAACAGTATATTATATCACACGTATGTGTACCAGTATGACCGGGCAGAAAAGGGTCTAGATTGCTGGGCACTGAAAGTTAAACATCTGTTATTTTCCTTTGGATATGGTGAAATTTTGGAATAGACAATCAGTTTCTTGTATTCATTCATTTATATCCGCTTTTAGAACAAGATGTATTGATATTGATAACCAGTGTCTCTTTGAATCTTTTGACAAATTATCTTCATTATATTTGTATAAAACAATTAAGCTATCAAATGAAGATGAAAATTATTTAAGTGTTGTGAATATTGCTGCATTTAGGATTACTCTCTCACAGTTTCGCATGTCG